TCAATGTCAAGGTTCATCATTACTAAAAAAGATACAGTCATGTTAGGTGCTATTGGTGAATATAACAACCAAGTGGTGACAAAGACATCATGATAATTACTCCTTAACACTAATAGTTTATTAATAATTATATTAAATGGTTCTTAAGATATTAATCATTTCAGAATTCTCTACCTATAACACTATAGTTAGTCATAAATTAATTAATACTAACAAATTAATACGTTTACATAACAAAGTTTGAGACTGATTTTCATATCCATTTTTACATAATTTAAAAAACATTAACAAGAATAAAAATAGTATAATGCTAAACTTAGTTTACTAACTAAACATCATGAAACATGAATTCATGATGTCTACTTACTCTATACAATACAATGCCTCCGGCCAATCGTCATTTTCATCGCCGTCCACCATGATCATTAACACCTTCAACATCGATCCTTCTTCATCGTTATACCACAAAATGACTATTACTTTCAATTCTTCTCTATCACTAATGGTTGTTCTACCATGAAACAACTACTTCTTTCAATCCAGCTTTCAATTCTTCCCATTGACGATCCTCGAATTCTGATCCTCCATTAACAACTTTGAACTCCACCAACAACAACTCTTTTGCCAACTCCAAGATTTCAACTAACAAAACACTTCTCCCTTTCACCAACCCAATTCCACCATTCTTTCTTTTCTCTACTCTGTATCCTGCATTTATACCAACATTCATCACCTTCTCTTCTATCACCTTAACTTCTACATTTGTCGTAAATCTCATCTCCTTCTTGTTCAATTCTTCTTCAAATATCGACGATAAATCCAACCCTGAACACATTAAAATTAAATCAAATGCATTTATACTCTCCATTTGTTTGCTTTCCTTCTCCAAAATCCCCTCACCAAATCGCTTCGTGCTTTGCTCTGGTTTCATCGACGATGATTTCTTAAACCATGGAGTGTTCATGAGCTCTACAATTCCGTATCTCGTTTCAGGATTAGGATCAAGCAGCCGGTTAATTATCCTCTGAGCTGACTTTGAAACCCAATCGGGAAACTTATATTCACGCCGGTGTATAGCTTTAACCATGTTAGGCAAATTGCTATCATCGAACGGTAAGCTTCCGGCGAGGAACACAAAGAGAATAACCCCACATGACCAAGCATCCGCCTTAGCACCATCGTACCCTCTTCTGTAAACTACCTCCGGAGCAGTATACGCCGGCGTACCACACGCAGTATAAAGGAGACCGTTCTGTAACTGCTCCGGCAAGGCGGAGAGTCCGAAATCGGAGATTTTGAGATGACCCTCTTTGTCTAGGAGTAGATTTTGTGGCTTGATATCACGATGAGCAACGCCGTTTTGGTGGCAGAAATGTAAAGCAGAGACAAGATGATGGAAATAAAATCTGGCGGTGGATTCAGAAAACCGGCCACGGCGATTAAGCTTTGTGAAAAGCTCACCGCCGTGAGCTAGTTCCATAACGAAATAGATCTTAGTTTTCGTCGCCATAACTTCAAAAAGTTCGAGGATATTCGGGTGGTGATTAAGGCGGCGCATGGCGGAGACTTCACGGATAATCCGTGGCTCCATAGAAGCATCAATGGCAGTACTGGATTTATCTATAACTTTAACAGCAACTTCAGTGTTATCGTCTAAACAACGGCCAAGGTACACTTTAGCAAAGCTACCTCGACCCAACAGACGAACCAATTGGTATTTCCCAAGAATGATAGATCCAGATCCACTACCATCGGAACTGGTGGTTCTTCTGATTTTGACGGTAAATGGAGGTGGTTGGGGTTGTTTTACATCCATTCCGATGACGACAACCACGGCGGCGGTGACGACGGCGGGTGGAAGAGAGGGGAAGCTGCAGAAGATTAGTGACAGAGGCAAGAAGAAAATGGGCGTGAAGGTTCATTTTTATAGTGAAAATTAGTTGGATGTATCTAATCTGTCAATTTTTTAAAATTTTTGGATTTTTGTTAAATTTGGTATTTAAAAAAAAAAATTCACAACTATTTTTATTTGAGAGAATTTTATTCCTCTTAATACAGGACTTTCGTGGTATATTTAAATTTAGTCTAATTATTTTATTAATCGATATTAAACATCAAAAAAAATATAAGAGAATATACCGGTTAATTTCCCCAAAAACTTGACAAAGAAAAAAATTGAATTAAATCATTCTAATCTCCACTATAAATTAATTATTATACTTGGACGGTATGCATTTATTTCTGATTATTTAAAGCTGTCAATTCTCCTTTTCCTTGATTTAAAAATTAAAATCACTAAATTAATTAAGTACCCAATATCTTTTAATTTGTTTAAATAATTATTTTCTTTTCTTTTCTTTTTGTCCCACCCAATTGAAGTAATTTGATTGACAGTTGATGACAGATGAGAAAAATTATGCAAATTGCAAAGCAACACCTTTGCAAAGTGATGAGCCAACTTTGCATGGCACATATATTACATAATATAATACAAAATATTTTCCCCTAATACAATTATTAGTTAGGGTTTTGATAATCGAGGAACAATAAAAGATTCGATTATTTTCTAGCATAACTATCGCAACTTATTCATGCGACTAGCTTATGATACCCTGACTTCGAATAAAAGATTTTATATAAAAAAATTAAATAAAGTAAAAATATTGGGTAAATAAATAACTATTTCGTTTCTTCTAATAATTAATTGTTAACATGTATATATCTAGACTCAGAGCAGACAAATTACTAACATGCAAAACTGTTACATATGCCTTATTTGAGGGGCTCTATTTCATCACTATTTAAATTTCATTCATTTAATAAAAAAAATGATGTCATTGATATAACATATATTGTTTCTAGCTTCTTTTTCTATTTCATTTTTGTTACGTGATATACTTTGGGGATATATTTTTGTATATGTTTTTAAAGTTTATAACTATGTTAGATCTAATGATATTAATTAATATCAATAAAAAGTTTAGCACACTTTTTTAATGTGTATACATATTATGATTAAAAATTATTTTTATTATAATGATTAGAGTCGGAAAAAACGAGCAGATATAAATAAAGTAGAATTATTTGTGATATCGTAAAGAATTCAAATGAATAGTTTTGTCTTAGGAAAATCAACTTAAGCTATAGAGTGTACTCAGTTAATCATCACCAGTTTAGTGGGGTATATTCCTTGGATATTTTTTCTTTAATAATGGAATAAATCTTGTTTAGTCATTGATCAATTATCATCACAATTGGGAAAATTAAGACCCTTAAACTTTGATTAATTCTCATTACTTTTTTCTTCTCGGTCAATAACATAGTTAATTTAATGTGATTATTTTATATTATGTAGATTCGACTCTCATCATGTAGAGAAAAAAAATATAATATAATGAAAAGGAGAAGCCACATGAGTGTCCTAATGAATATAGCGGAGATATAGATGCTTAGAGAATGTATGCATATAAGGTGTTTGGTCAAACCATATAATTTTACGTTGATTCCATATCAATATTTCATATCACGAAATGTGATGTCATATTCTCCAAAAATCATGATATGGATTATGGAATCACATGGTGATATCATATCATAATTTGAGATGTTTTAATATAAAAATTGATCACAACCCCACATTTATAATTACTAGCCATTTATTTCACATGTAAATAAAATTTATGATCACATCATTACATTTTTAAATTTATTATTCTCACCGACATAAAATTTGTTATTCTCACTAACATATAGTCACTTTAACTCACATTTTACGATTGTTGAGTAATAAAATCTTGAAGAGCCTGTGAAAAGTGTTTCATTTTTACTCAAATATATTGATGAAACAATTACTTAAGTGGACAGTAAATAACTTTGTTATAATTTATTATTATACGATTTTATGATTTTTAGTTGATTTGATATTATTGAATAAATAATTGGGGCTATTTTAATAGTTTTAGAACTTATGGGAGTTTTATGTTTATAAGAAAATAAACAACATAAAAATTTCATACCGCATGTCCAAACAAAGCTTAATTTCATTTCATGATTCTATATCATGATCATATCGCATGGTCAAACGGGTCCTAAGACAGGTATAATACAGGGAATCAAATGGTAATCGCTTCCGTGACAGATAAGATAAGAAAAATAAAATTGAAATAGTTCGAATATGTAAGAAGAGTTTAAATTGAATTTAAGGTTACTATATTTATTTGTGAATTTTTGGCGTTAATTTTATTTTTTTTCATATTTTTCCTATTTTTTATTAATCAATTACTCATTTTCGGGATCTACCGCAAAAATAATAATTAAACAAAATTATTAATAATGGGTCGGATATTAAATTTAAAAGGAGCTGATTTATGGGTTGTATTAGGTGTTTATGAGAACGAATATCTTTCAATTTTCATATAAATGTTATGTGGTAAGGTCAAAATGACATGACAATTCCATGTGGCATTTAAACAAATGAAAAATGAGTTGGATATGTCCAACATGACAACTAATGCCCATAAAGGCATATTTGGACCAAAAGTTGGACGGCGAAGGCATCAGTGAACCAAATTTTAAACGGAGAATATATCTAGACCTTTTCAAATAGTTTAGGGGTATATTTAACTCTTTTCAAAGTATTAAATGATTCTTAAGATATTAATTATTTAAGAATGCTCTACCTATAACACTATAGTTAGTCATAAATTAATTATACTAACAAATTAATAAGTTTACATAACAAAGTTTGAAGTTAAAAGTTAAAAACTTATAACAATTCAAATTTTTTTGCGATTCATTTCTTATTATGAGTGTTAAAAGAAGGATCGCAGATTAGGGCTAATTAATTTGATATTCATGTATGTAAATAATTAAAACTAGGTTTTTGTTGGGAAGGCTTGAGTTTAGAATGAATTTTATTTTTGATATCCATTTAAATAATAAAAACTAAACTTTGTTGAGAAGCCTTTGTGTTTAGATAGAATGAAATCTAATATCAACCATATGAAAATATAGTTATTATTTGTTTCGACCTAGACCATATCATGCCCCTCATGGGTACTTGCTATAGTCAAGATGTTACATTAGCCAACAATTTCCCTTTCAACACATGTCTCATGCAACATGTTTGTCACGACCCAAAATCACGAGTTGTGATGGCACCTATATTCCCAGCCAATAGGTAAGCCAACCAACACATTTTAACAAACTTAACTAATAAAGAAGTGAAAAGACAAAAATTTCCAAATCTCCAACACTGAGTTCTTATAAGTACGAATGCGGAAAACTGAAAAAAAAGTACTACCCAAGAAATGGTGTCATGAGTACAAGAGCTTCTAAAATACGATGCAAGTCTGAAACTAAAAAGGCAAATCTAACATAAGGAATATCCTGTCTGAATACTGAATAACAGAATAAGTAAAAGATAGAGGGAGGTGTGGGCCACGGAACAGCCAAGCAGCTCACCACAACTCCAAGACACTCCAAACTCGGACTCAAACTGCTCCTCGAGATGTGCTCCTACTTGGAATCGAATCTGCACCACAAAGAGTGCAACAAGTGTAGTATGAGTACGAAACCACGTGTACTCAGTATGTCTCATTGACCGACCACGAAGAAGTAGTGACGGGAGTTTATATAAGAAAATAAAGTCTTAAATTATACAAGTATATATATATATATATTACACTCACTATTTAAGTTTCGTCAATAAAGGAAATCAACATTTAATATTTTCCAAAACACCAAACGAAACATATAGTCATCAAGAATGAATGATGGGATGAAATGCAATGCAATATGATGCCATGTAATGATATGGCTCAGAATACCCAGTACTCACTCAACTGTATATACATGATACTCCTCGGAAATACATCGAGAGTTCATGACCCATGGGGGACTCGCGAGGTCCATATACCGACACGGACGATCTCCACGTGTCTGTGCGGACGATCTCAACGCACAATCATAATATCAAGCAATTTTCGCACGGACGGTCTCCACGTGCCCAAATTACAATGTTAACATCTCACCATCCCCAGCACGGACGATCTCCACGTGCCCAACTTATACTCAGTCTCATGTCTATGCATGTGCACAATATTATTTCAATAGAGGGGATGATGATGCATCTCAATCAATCAATATGAACATAATACATAACCACCTCAATTATCACAACTATACGGGTGAAATAAATAAAACACAATCACACAAGGAATTCAAGTCAATAATATATCAGCTAATGCCCATTATGCTTTGGCATTCTCAAATTTCAATCCACATTCTATAATAGAAATTTTCCTTTTTATAACACCGGTACTCGTACCAATGCCCCGTCACACCATTGATACGAGACCACCATTTTTTCCCCTTATCCCTTGTCTATTTTCATTTTTTTTAATCTTTAATTAGGAAAACGTCCTTCAACAAGTCTAAAAGTCTTAACATACCTCAAGTGCCGAACTCGTGCCACGAATCCTCAAACTAGTTCCTTCCCTTTTTGCAAAATTTCGGAACGTTCACGATCTACCAATGATGCAATATTCGTAAGTAAGCGAGTTGTATCAAATCATTATATGTCTATCATAAACCCTAAAACTCACTCATATTTCCAATCTAGCTCCAAACCTTGATAAAATTTGTATGCCAAATTTATCATATTTGCTAAATTTCAAGTCAAGAATTTAACTTTAATCCCTCCAACAAGGTTGAATCATATAATATACCCCTAATAATTAATTATCCATCTCAATCTATTAAAAACTAGTATCTTAATTTTGTAAATGGATACCATAAGAACTGATTCCCACCCATCGATAAATAAAATATTGGAATGTGACCATTCTTTCCTTAAACCATTCTGCAACCTGCCTTTTTTTTTTATATATTACCACCATTGCCAATCATTGGCATATGATTGCCTAATGATTGGCATCCAACCATAATCCCTCATTATCCTAATAACTCTAGGAACAAAACGTCCCTCATCAGCCAATTTTTTTTCTTCATTAATGCCCCCGTCAATATGACCCCCAAAAATTTCTCAGATTTTCATAATTTACCACAATTGTACTGCCAATTTTTACAAGGATCAACGGTCCAAATCTTCAAAAAAAATTCCATAATTCCCACTCGTCTATGTCGGCACTGTACCCGTGAAACCATTAATTCAACATTCCCCACCTAATAATATAATAGCAATACTCATATACGAAGCAATTTCGTGTGTACCCTCAAGAATGAAAAATTTATTAAGATTTTCTTACCTCTAGGAGTCGACTTTCGCTATGACACCGCCACCAAACTTTGCACGCTGATTTCTTGTTTCTTCTCTTTTTTTTCTAAACCAGAGTATATTAACCGTGAAACCCCACTAACCTATTATCTACATTACTTATTTTAAATTCTTCACTAAATTTTTTTTTTATCAACTAAATATTCTTAGTTTCAAATAGTTTAAAAATACCCCTTTAAATTTTCAAAAGGAGTCAAACTAGTCCTAGTTCTCAAAACGACCCAGCAGGTCGTTACAATGTTATTCTTCGAAATCAAATTCATGACGTTATCTCTAATATCATTGGTTAAAATCAAATCGCAAAGATGTAACTTTACTTTTCAACTGAACCCACTAAGCAAGCAACATGCATACATTCATCGTTACTCTGAGTAGGACTAACCCAACCTCCTCGGGCCTCGTGGACCTTGTCATATGCAAGACGTTAACGTTATCCAACAATTTTCCTCACAGCATCTGCCTCATAAAACTTGGAAATCGAACTGATTACAACGTCATGTTCGATCATAACTCTGATTTGAATCACCCTTGCCCCCTCGTGGATCTTGCCATAGGTACAAAATACCACAATACTAAATTAAAAGTCAAGAAAATTGAAAAGGAAAGATACTAGGAACCAAGGGATTAAAGGACAAATACCATTTCAATGTCCAAATGACCTCTAATATATCGAATGTTTTAATGTCATTAGCAGTAAAAGACAATAGGGATTTACGTCGTTTCAACCTAATAGTTGTTGGACTTGTTAGTTTACTTAGTAGAAATAATATATGAATTAGGAGTAGCTAAAGATACATAAATTTTTTTATTGTACAATAATGAAATAATTTATTTGTCATAGTTTACCTATAGTCCATGTCATTAATGGTCCAAGAAAAAGAAAATTGGAATATTCTGCTCATAACATTAAATTATTGATTTCATTAAGATATTGAGAGATACTTAGATGAAGAGTTAAAAGATCTACACTATTTAATAGTGATATTGATCATCATCATGACTTCTAAAAATTATAATAAAAAGAGTGTCATTCTTTAAAGGATCTTAGATATATGATTGTGAATTTGAATTTAAAACTTTAAATTAAAAAAAAATATAGCTATAATAAAGGTAATATATCTATTTAAGCATCATTACAATAGAGTTGGTTGCACTTACATTAATGCTAGAACTAAATTAGTTATGTTCAAGAAGGGGATTATAATTTATAATGCATCGAGGTTTTTTAATCTGATAAAAAGAATTTCTTTGTTACTTGCATCTAATTTTTTTAAAATACTTTTTTTATATTTCAACGTTGTCATTAATCTTGTAAAAAAATGAGAATAACATGCAATTGCACCAATGTGTCTCACAATTTCAATTTTTTTTTTACATAGTCCACACAAATACATTTTTTTTTCTTATTCCAAATATTTCATTGCTTCACGTATCGAAATAACTTTAGTCTAACATTTTATATTCTAAAAGTCATAACTAGGGGAATTCGTTTTGAGAATTAAATGTAGAATTTACCAAACCAAAAACAAGGTACACACTTGCTTTTATCAATTTGGGTGTCGAATACGTCAATACTAAAATTATGATGATATATGCTTATATTATTACATACTTGGTAGGATTATTTTTGGAAAAATATCTATTTTGTGAGTAGACGAAGGGGTTGATTTCTCAGAGCGATGGTCAGTCAACTAATATAGTTATTTTATCTATATAAATTTGGCCATTTTTTTTAATTCTAAATTCCAATAAAGTAAATGATTTTTTGAGATAATAACCATTAGTTAAGTGTTTGAAAAATTAACTCTCGTATAAAGTATATAAGAGCCAAGCTAGAAGCTCAGATACGAGTTCCGGCCCATTTCAATAGTTTTTGCTCAAATAGTATATTGTATTCATCAGATATGAATAAATATTAAGTTTAGCGAAATCAGTTATTAACACTTAAATAGTCATTTTAAAATACATAACTCAGAAAATTATAGTCATGACTCCATCCCTGAAAGTATATACGAATTGTTGCTTTAATTAGTGAATGAATTTGACTACTAATAAGCGTTGTGCTGTAGTGGTTAGCATGCACTCGTTCATTCTTAATCAGAGGTCTTCGATTTGAATCTCTGAATATAGAATCACTTTTATTAAAAGCGTTTTACCTCACTATAGCACTTCTTGACTCAAAATAAAACTTTAATACGAATATTAAATACCGTATTCAGATAAACAAGGGAAAAAAACTTAAACTATATATCTATGTATATGCCAAAACCCATCCGAATTGATTATCACATTACATAACTATCCTCAATGTTTCTAGTCTTTTCTTATGTCAAATTCATTTTATCTTTTGAAGAAAAAAAACACTCACTATTTTTTTTAGTAACTAATAAAAAGACACATGACTAAATTTTCAATCATATTTCCCAATAAGTTGTTTTTCATATCTGGTATGATTCTTAGCAGGAACACACTGCTTCTTGTATTTTTTTTTTTAATTTATTCCCTCAAAAATAGACAAAATAAGAACTATATATATATAGTTGTAGAAATCTTCTTTCTACTTCCACCAACTATAGTCTATAAATTAATTATGGAGAGTTCAACGGTACGTATTTTTTCAATATTTTTTTTAAAAGAAAAAGAAAAATACATAAGTGTTTTTTTAAAATTTCAGAGACACTACTTATATTATATTAAGATTTTATTATCTTTCTGTACTCCTTTTCAGTCTACGTGAAAAATTGTCAACATGCGTTGGCCAGAAGATAATGTCACATAGGTCGAAAAAGGGTAAAAAATTATTTATAAAAAAAGTTTAGAGATAATAGGATCTTAGTATAGTATGAGTGTGTTTCTGAGATTTCGAGCGCAGATTGAGGGTAATTATGTCCTTTAGCTATAAAAAATATCTTTTTCACATGTTATTATTATAAGAATATATGCAATTGGAAAGCAACCCCTTTGCATAATATTATAAGATATTCACTTATAATAATTCTAGTAGCATAACTTCATTTTAATAATTCTTGAAAAAATTAAACTTCTGCACAATTTCATTCAAGATTGAACCGATATTAAAATCGTCATTTAATCAACAAAAATTCTTTAATTCGTTACAAAATCGTACATAAAATTTATTTCATACGACTCCTATTTATGAAAATAATACATAGAGTCAAAAGAAATTCAACCATGAAATATAAACTCAATTATATAAGATTAGTGTTTTTACAATTTTTCTACGAGAGATTCTTTCTTAACATAAAACAATAGAATATCCTTATTTTTAATACTAAATATTTATCCTCGTCGAATATTTATGGCATATATTGTTATAATACGTAACCATACGACAAGAAAATGTTCTAATTAACAATTATTTTTCTTTTTAGAATAACATATGCATTATAAGATACAAGTAAAAATATCATAGCCCCCTCATGCACTAAACTTTTAAGCTGGTAGGAATTAATAAATTAAAAATCTGATGAAAGAATTATATTTATAAAATTGCATTTACTAAATATAATAACAAATAGATGCATGGAATTAAGGAAACAAAAAAAGTTTTGGTGTATAAAGTTAAAAGATATTCTTTATAATAACTATATATCCTTTATAAACAACATTTTTTTTTATATTTTCTATAAAATCAATCTTGTAATTTTTATTATATATTTCTATATAGTATTAAAAAAATATTTGAACAAATGATATTATACGTGTGATTGTATATTCATACGAGGACGCTATTGCAGACAGTGACTCCTAGCACAATCACTAGTCGAATTAATTAAATTATTGAAAGCATGTATGCTACAACCATTGGCTCATCCAAAGGTCTAATATTTAGGAGCCAATTTAAAGTAAATCGAGTTTAAATAAGTTGGGATATGAGAGTATCTTGTTGCAATAAGAGTGAATCGATATAGTTTGAGGCGGATCTATCCTTAAAATAAGAAGTCACTCATAACTGATAATTCATATATATATAGTAACTTTTCGTAATAATAGAGTGAATTTTATAGTAAGTAATTAATAAATTTATATATGTTATGTTAAAGAATGACAAAGTTTTATATAAGTGGTTAATGAGATGGTTGATGGACTCTTTATAAGGCTTGATTAAACTCCTTCCTTTTAAGCTAGCTTTTGGGGTGTGAGTTAGGTCTAAGACCTAATTTGACATGTTATTTGGAGAAACAGGACATTAACATGCCTATATTATGCCCCCGATATATTTAATTCATGAAAGTAATATACATATGAATATAATTACGTTTAATTAAAAGAATTTAACTGATCTCAATATTTCTATAGTGATCATCATTTTTGTCTTTAATAAATGAATCATGAATCTATATTAATCTACGCTTCAAAACATATATCAAACACCGGATCAGAAGAATTAACTACAAAAGCAATATCTCATCGGCTGACTCAATATATTTTATTTGAATATATAATTGAAAGGTGTTTGATATATATTTTGGGTTGTAAGTTAAATTTGTAGCTGGAATTTAATTGTTAAAGGATATCTCCAATCCTACACACTATTTTACTCTTTAAATATAAAGTTTTATATTTCTTCAGACAATTAACTTTAATTCAACTCTATTTTACTCTTTAAAAAAAATCTCGTTCTCTATCCTAAATATTATATTATTATTTCTATTTCATCCTTATCCTTTTATTTCATAATATAAACCTTTTATTTCTTTTTTCAATATTACTTTATATAATTATAATCTGATATAACATTTTATTTTTATAAAATTTTTATTTAATATAAAATTAT